TTAGATCATTGACATCTGGAGCTCTTTTAATGTCCTTTTTGATTATTGTTACACCAGGTCTTGTCAAAACCTTTATTCCATATTCAATATCCATTACTAAACAAAACAGCAATTCTACTCCACTACAATTCAGAGGTTAACCTGGTATTTTTACTCCACTACATTTATTTTAGTTACTTTGCAGATTCTGATTAATGATGTGAAATATAAACAACCCTTAAATCAGGCTTTAGTTACACCTGAGTAAAATTCAGGGAAAGGTGATTGTCAAGTGCCAACAATCAGGAGAGATATTTGATAGTTGCTGCTTGAGAAGACTAAACATTTATCTGCAGATCCCTATAAAGTATATTCATTACTCGTTATTCTCTACTAATAGTTAATTAAAGACTGTATATAATGGCTATTTTGCATATCCCTTTCAAGATTTCAAGATTTTCTAAGGATCATTGACATATCATATACACAACTAATTCAATAACGTGCTTTAACCACTAGGCGGTGCACACAAGGTACACACAGCCATAATAACTTTGTATTATTAGTGTAGGACACTTGTGTATGTATAACATCTGAAGATGTGTAGTTTTATTCATGTTTTCACATAATTGTACAGGATATTGCTATATTATTTCACATGTTTTACTTATAATATCTGATTTGTAAAACATCACAGACAGAAAGGTATATCCGTCATTTAACAGTAAGCTATTGAAATTCTGAATCCATAGATGTGTCTCCCATCACCCAAATCCCCTGACTATTCTCTCAACTCAGTATTTACATTCTTATATTCAAAGAAAATCAGTAATATCTTTAAAAACGACAAGTCCTTTTATATCAGCTGTGCACCGTTATGGTGTATAACGTATTTTTTTTCGGATTTCACATCAACAGTAAGTCCGTTTAACTAAAATGTCCGTGCGGAACAATACCCCCAACCCATAGATCCGTGGGTGAATAATGTCAATCACCACATTACACACACCCCTTCACATTTACATTTTAATTTACATTAAAGTATTTCGTGAGGCCTTCTAAAATGTTTTAAAATATAATTAGGGTTGTAGTTGAAGAGTTTGTAAATTGCGTTGCCTGGCAACGCAATCACACAACATCACGTCCGTTAATTCCACATCCTCACCTCCACACACATGGATTAACATCGATTTAATACATTAATGTAGCCTTTGTTTCTGCTAAAAGAGGTGTCGACCATCTAGGGCAACAAGAAAATCGGCGAAATCAAGTGTGATGATTACAAAATAAATTAAAAACATCTCATTTTGACAATAAAAACCGACCAAATGCGCGGTAGACCATTTGCTAGGCACTTCCGGGTATTTCTCCACTGGTTGGGCCATGTTAACAATACCGTGTAACTGTCACGTTTGAAGGGACGAAACCGTGACATATTCACGTCTCCCAGCATGGTAGATCGTCACATGTTCACGTCTTGCCGTGATACCGGGTTGAATGCTGCAGTGCAACGGCAGGCTGGGCAATCTTTGCACGGTTATGAGCAGTCAGTTGAGTTCACTTAAATTATATCCTTACTACACCTTTTAATTGATCTGACGGTAGGCTACACATATTAACACTTGCAGGAACATGTAGTTCAAACTAACACTGTTTTGTGGATTAAGCTTGTGTGATCTGAATTTAGAAAGAAAATAGAAAGGTGCACTGCAGTGGCGTAACACCATCGGGCCAGGGAGGGCCCAGGCCCGCCCAGTTTACTCATTGGCCCGCTCTGAGAAAGCTTCGATGTAATTTTTATTTTGTTTTATTATTATACATTTTTTTAATTCACCCATTGAGAATATCCAAGCATTCAAAGTTACATTTAAGTGAACAAATATCGAGTAGAATTAATGTTGTATTTGTTTTATCCTCTGAACGGAACTCATTTCCGGTCAAAACTGGTTGTTGGTTCCGGCGCGCGCCCAATTAGTAACGTGAGAGAGCTGCCTGCAAATGCTGCTCTCTTCTAGCAGCGATCCAGGGCCAGGCTCTCCGACTCCGGAGACTATACTGTTACGGCCGCTTGCTCCACGGCGCTAGCAGTGCTCCCTCCCGCTCCCGGTCGTCAGCATGAAGCAGGTGTAGGCCTACCCGCTGATCTGTCTGCACTTGATGAACCGCCTTCACAGCCAAAACTGAAGAAGTTCCCCTACACTGTTAATCATGGAAAAGCAAAGTGCTTCTCATCGAGGTGGTATGAAGATTGTCCCTGGGTGGAATACAGCGCAAGTAGGGACGCACTTTTCTGTAAAAATGTGCAGACATTTCCCCAGCCCAGGAGCTGAAGGTGCATTTACGAGGGATGGATATGTAGACTGGAAGCACCTGCGTAACTTGTTGGAGAGACATACAAAAAGCGAGGACCACTGCAAGTCCATGAGCAGGTTTGAATGCTACAACCTATTGTTGTGTTAGTGCAATAAAAGAGTTACCTAACTATTGTAAATAACCCAATTTGTGTTTTGTGAAACTGAAAAGGATATTACATTGTTTTTGTTACTTTCGTTGCAGTTGTATATGTCTTAAATGTAATTTAAGTTAACTTACTGTTTTATTTAGATGCCTTTATTTTGAAGGCGAGTTTACACTGTTGACAGGAAGTTGTTGTTGCTATGGAAACAACGTGACGGAGAAAAGGAGCGGAGATTAACGGAGAAAAGTAATATCTACATATAAAGACGGAGAAAGTAAAGGATAAAGTTTATGTTTAAGTTTAGCACACCCCGAAGAGGCACAAGGTTGCTATTAACTATAATATAAAAATGTGGGTTGTTTGTAGGTTATGCTGTTTTGTAGCTTTGCTGTCTGTTTACAGTTAACATTTGGTAGTATGCTAAAGTAATTCTAATACGGATGGAGCCTAAATGTATTTGTTATTTTTGTGTCTTTATAGCTCTTACATTGATATTGGAGATTTCAATAAATTCATATCATCAGTCAAGTCTTCGACCATTATTCTGAGGGAAATGCGATGCTTGGCAATGGGCATTATTATTATTATTATTATAGGCCAGGCCTACCTTAAAGTCATTTTCCCCCCTGGAAAAAGCTGGCCCCCCTATTTTATACAGGCCCGCCCTAAAGTAAATTTCTGCCTACGCTACTGGTGCACTGTAGAGCAGCTTTTCCCCAGTGTGTCTGTATCCCCAGGGTGTGTCCGACTCCGGGGATCGAGAAGCACTTTTGTTTTTACCACAGTTCTTTGGAGGACAAATCACTTAATAAGCTAAATGACAAAATAAAGGAACCCAAAAAAACCCTCTCTAACTATCAGAAGTCAACCTCTACATCAGTCATAATGTAGCTTTATGATGCTATGGTACTCATTTGGACTCAATTAAATGTAAACAAATAAGCCTGTATAAAGTGCACAAAATACACATTGAAGATATAGAGCAGATGTTTCTATGGTATTTTAATACATATTCAGCAGGATGAGGAGAAGTTAAAATGCCAAGGACTAAATAACATGACCTCCAGGTTTCCAAATAGAGTGTATTTCTGAAACAACAGCTATTAATATGCATAATATGAGACATTATGTGCTTTACCTTATTCTAACAAAAGCGTCAGAGAGGATGCTAACCCCCCCACCTCTCCCTCTCACAGTATTAGCTCGTGGTATGTTCCGTATTTACTCCCAGGGTGACCCCTCCCTCAGCAGCGTGCATCCCGAGCTGCAGGTGAGCAGAGCGGCTGCAGCTGCTCCTCACAGCCGGCTGGATCACCGCGGAGCTGGATCACACACAGGACCCGGAGCTGCATCGCTTCCGGGGAGCGCGAGCCGATCTGCGGGTGCTGATGATGTGAAGAGGCTGCCGACTGGTTTGTTCCCTTTCTTTTGGTTCTAGAAAAGTCGTTAAACCTAGTTGTTACCTCCTTTCAAGACAGGATTATATATGAAATGAGCCCATAAAACAGTTTGGAATAATTATTAATAATTCATTTCACTCTACAGGTTTATGTTCTTACTTCCTTAAACTTTACCGAGGCTGTAACAATTAATTATTGACAGCATCATGTCATTTACTAATTATTTTTGGTTGATTGATCGTTTAAGCATTCAGAACATAGCGACGTCATCTTCATCAAAAGTCCTGCAAATAAATATGTTGCAACACAGAATAATAATTAATGACTTAAATGATTATAAGGATCATTTATTCATTTTCCAAATGTCGCAGATCAAAAATTGTATTCGTCCGATAAAGAAAACAGCTTCATGTGGAGATTTAGAATAATACATTTGTGTAAATTAATTACAATATGAAATACTGCATGAGTTTGTGTATAATACTCCTCGTGTAATATCACATTGACTACTACAATCAACTGTAACGCTATATGTTTTAAGACAGAGACCCTTAAACATGTCAGGTGTTATGCAGTAGATGTTAGGATTGAAAACACTTAAGATGTTGTGAGCAAATGCAAGAAGCAATTAGCTTGTATTATTAATGGGAATATGGTGGAGGTGTATTCATTACTAACCTCTATGGATTAGGTTGCACTTGTGTAAGCAAATACTAACAGTTAATGTGTGCAGGTGATAGTACTACATGTTTTTTCACACACACAAGACTGCATTACATCCAGACAGTCCATACAAATAATAAATGTGGCAGTAGAGGTTAAGAAGCAGACAATAAAAACAGACAATAACATAAAACAAAGCAACAACCTATTAGAGAATATATTAACAAAAGATAAATGACCACAAGAAGCAGAACAAATATGCAACTAACCAACCATAAGACACAAATCAAATAAAAACAGAGAAATTAAAAACAATATGGGGAATAAGAAGATACAAAATGAAATATGAATGTCAGGATGAAATAAATATCAATTTGAGTTTCCTCTTCTTTGTTTCCTGTGTGTGTCATCTCTTCAGTTTATATCGGAGGCTTGTGACCCTGACATGTGTCCACCCAGCGAGACAGTAACCTGAGAGCCCTTCCTGCGGGAACACCAGGATGCGTCCCACTGCCTCACAGCTTTTAGGGAAGACCAGTGTTAGAGGCAACCGCTGGAACCGGGCCACTGCAGCCTTGATGCTCTCTCTGTGTCTTGGCTTTCCTCCCTCTGTGGCCATGTGCCCACCCTACTGCCTTTGTGCCAGTGATATCATTTCCTGCAGCGGGCGCAATCTGTCTGTGCTACCCTCTGATCTCCCAAGCTATGCCACACGGTTGGACCTGAGCCACAATGCCCTCACTGCCCTGCCTGTGGACTGGACTTCCGGACCGTTTGACCGGCTTGCTACACTGATTCTCAGCCGAAACTCCATTAGCCAAATTGAGGGAAATGCCTTCACTGTGGCGCCGTATCTCATCCACCTGGACATCTCTTCCAACCAACTAACAGTGCTGAACTCGTCCATCTTCTCGGGGTTGAAGGAACTGAAAGAGCTGCTGTTGTTTGGCAACCAGATCTCCCAGATTAATCCCGGTGCCTTCAGTGATCTTTACAGCCTGCAGAGGCTCTACCTCTCCGGGAACAGACTGAACGCTTTCCCCTTGGGGCTTTATTGGGAACCTGGGGGGCCTCGTAATCTGACCTTTCTTGATCTTTCAAACAACATGCTTTCCAAGGTTCCCGTCCAGAGATTGCTGTCTCTACCCCTGCAAGGTGGAAATTATTTACAGGAAAATCCTTTGGTCTGTGACTGTGCTTTACTCGCTTTGCTGGAGTACTGGATGTGGAGACAGTATCGCCCCCTGATAGTCTTCCGCGGTGAATACCCATGTATAGACGATTCAGGACCTGAATGTAGCCAGCAAGTAGTTTCAGATATGCCAGTTGAGGCAAACACGTACCAAGTAGATCCCGGTAAATGGCTAAGTGTGCCATGTCCAGGGTTGACTTCCCCAACTCAGGACGTGTTCTGGGTTACCCCAAAGACTGTGCTGAAATCATCAACCAACGATACCAGTGCTCGCCTAATAGTCTCCCCCAATGGCACCCTTGAAATCCAAGAAGCCCTGATGGAGGATTCTGGTGTGTATGTGTGCGTGGCAGCTCGAGGGCGTCACTTTGGCCCCAAAGAGTCTCCTGAGGTGAATGTTGTGGTTGGAAACCAAAGCACGGCCTCCACAAGCGGGTTAACGCGCCGTAAAGGGGCCGAACATTTCAATACTGCATTCACAACCCTGGCTTCCTGCGTGGTCAGCATCATTCTGGTGCTGCTCTACCTCTACCTCACTCCCTGTCGATGCCAGGAAAACCGGGGTGGGGCATCGGGAGGGTGCGGAGGACGAGCATTTGTCCTCTGTGCAGACCCCAGAGAGGTAGAATCAGGACAGCGGCGGTCAAACGGAAAGAGAGTGGCTTTCTTAGAGCCTCAGTTAGAGGACTCTGATGTTGATGGTCTAAAAACAACAGCCATTAATTTGGGTCATGTTACCATTGAGGGAATTCTCAAGAATGGAAGTAGGACAGTGGGACAGACCCTCACAGACCCTACTCAAATGGCATAGCACAAACACATTCCTGTAGTCTTGTCTAAACCCTGGATGTTTGTTGCAGATGAGAAAATCCATTTGATGTGATTTAATGTAATGTTGTTCTTGCAAAGTAGTTATGTGGGGTTTAAGTCTAAAGCAGGAAGTGCACTCCTTTCAATAACTTCTCAACTGTTAGTGCTGTCTGTTTTTGACATTACGTGTTCTTATGTAAATGTCACTGTTACCACAGGAAATTGTAATTGCAAAGATCATGTACACATGGGTAGTGATTTTAATTGGACTGAGAGGAATATTCTCACCTGTTTTGATGAGCTGCTAGAGGCATTGATGGTCATTACACAGTGTATGCTTTGTGGACACTGCCACCACAGTGACCCTTGTTATTTTTCACCGCCTGTCTCGTAATGTGGATCATTTTCAAAACACGTCAGTAACATGTGTGAAATGACATGAACTTTGATGTTTTGCAGATCATGCTGTGTCTGCTTCACGTCTTCTTTGAATTATGTAAATCAAGTATAACCCTATGAAAGTTCCTTTATTAAAAGCAATGAAATGCTTCAAAGCCTGCCGTGATGCTTTTGGGTGGAAACCTACAAAACATGAACTATGTCAAAAGGAATGCAAACTTGTGTTTAGTCAAACACAAATGCATTTAATTCATTCAAAATTGCGCAATTCTCTTAAAGAGGAGGTTTGGGGAGAAACACGATCACAAATGAATATGTATCTCCTTAAAGGGGCCCTATTTAGCTATTTTTGGTTTCCCTTTCCTGTAGTGTGTTTTATAGGTTTTTGTGCATGTAAAGGGTCTGCAAAGGCTCCCTCCAGAGGGAGTTTCTCTCCCACAGTCTCCCCCTCTGCCTGAAATGCCTCGATTTGACTCCTTTGTTTACTTATAGGGACATCACTATGTAACACTCACGCTTCAATTAGATAGCATTTCAGACAGAGGGTAAAAAGAGGTGTGCAGCACAGGAAGTATGAGAAAAATAAATACCTTTTTGAACGTTTAAGCACGTGAACATGTCACAGTATAGGCACACGATTAAAAAATGAACCTAAAAATGAGCATATGTCCTCTTAAATGTTGTGCTGGCGGTTCATTGCTAATTAACCAGGATTATAAAAGTGAATTTTGCAGGTAGCTGGAAACAAGAATCGAAATGAACAGCAATGACGTTTCAAGTCTGCTTGATGTGTTTGCTCACACATCCAGTATTTTACCTTATCAGGTGATAATATATCAGTGTTGTTATTAAACGTTTGTCTCACTGCACCCCAAGTGGCTAAAAAATCTATCAATAATGCTCTTATAAAATAGCATTTGGATGATGCGTTCTCGCTAAACTCATAATCCTCAGAGCTCACTGTGAACTAGGGCAGAAATGAATAGTTACATTTTTTTTATTTTTCGGCGTTTCACCTTTCAAAAACATCTTGAAAGGGTCATTCTAAAACTGAAATTATTTAAATGATTCAATACTACTCAAGTAAAAGTCCCCTCACACTCTTGTTTGTTTTGGGTTATCTGTAGCGACACATTTTGCCCAATTTTTTAAATGCCCCTTTCCAATGTGATACCATACATTTTATTCTATTGACTTCCATTGCATTGTGGAGCAGGCAAATGAAAAGTATCTGCATGGCTGGATAAATATGGATGGATGAGTTTTAAAAAAAAAATTCACGAGGATTTGAGGTATTCACACTGCCATTATTCGAGCACCATATCAAACATGTAAACGTTGTACAAGCTGCTGTCCTCAGATGGGACGAGAGAGCTCTGATCTGGACCAGTGCGTTTGCATAAACACTTGATCACTCATCCTGATCTTATTCATCCTGTCAGAAATATAGTTCCTTGCTAACCTTCCACCTTGTTACACTGACACACAGCTTTACTAATGGCAGATACTCAGAATAACTGATCCTTATGGGATCAAACGAGGGGGGTTTGGACTCAGGGATCAGCCCATATTAGTGCCACAGAAATCAGAGGGATTTCGCCCGGAACACACCCACATTCGTCCTCAATTATTTTATATGTGTGTGGAATAATTTCTAAGAAGAGCCTTGTTCCCTTTGACGCACATGTCCTTTCTTCAATGTCTGTATATACACTTCTGTTATGTTTCAATATGAGTGTGTCTTTTATCCTATTGTGAAGGGAATGTAACAGCAATGCTCATATCTGACTTGTGCTCTATTCATTTCCATCACATTTCTCTCTAGAGATCTGGTCAAAGCTGTTTTTCAGTATTACTCTGAGCTCAAATGAAAAGAGGCCGTTTGGGTGAAAAATGAAAAGTAGTGTTGCATCAGAAGGATTTGAGCATGACAAATAACCTCTGAGTGAGTCAACAAATCGCATTTAAAAAATCCTCTTACAAGCCTTTTGGATGGCTAGTGTAAAAAAAAAAAAAAAAAACCTTTTAAAACCTTATTTTTCTTGTGCATTTCTCAGGGGGGGAAAGGTTTGGTGATTCTTGTTTGGGGACTGATGGTCAACTGGCATGTGATCGAACAATAGCTTCTTATTTTATATGCATACATCATTTAAGCGTGATGATATGGAGCTCTAGCGTACGAGTCAGGAACTGTCATTTCAGCTTCCTCTCTGATTCATCAGCCACGTCCATCACCTGTGTCTGGAGTCCAAGCGGGGATTTTGTGTTGCTGCTGCTCAGACACACGTCCATCGATTACAAATACGTTTTGTCAATCACTTTTGTTTAAATTAACCCTCTGTCCTGACTGTAAGGGCAGTGAGGACACAGAAAGCCTTCAGAGGCATGGTGTTGAATAGAGGTCTCAGCTAGTGACAGATCCCACTGGGACTAATTTATATGTCCCGCACCTCTCACCGTGACGTACAGTAGGTGTTTTCACAAGTCCAGATGGACATTTAGACTGTTGCAGGAGGTGTTGTCTCTCCACTAGAGAAACTACTGCTTTTCCCATTGCAGCTAGTGGTAACTTCAGTTAACAATATCAAGCTAATGCCTGTAAAAAATGGAGAACCCTAATCCTGATTTAATTTCTGGCACCTATGTTTTTTTTAAGTTTTGAAGGGGCATTCTACAAATATTTAAAAAATAGATGCTTATATACAACACATTTATGACAGAAAAACCATAGCTGGTGTAAAAATCCTACAGTCACATAAACGTGGAAGACTGTTTATGTAGAACACAGCAGTTTGACATTAATATCCGTTTTTCCCTTAAAGGTAACATCTTGGTTTGAGGAACAAAAAACGACATATTTTTTATAAAGGGTTATTTAAATCCAAATATGTTTGCACTATACTATTGCAGTTTTTGTATTATATCAGCAGTAACAATATAATTTTACTTTTACATAAGGTATGAAATTCTGTGGAATCCTGCAAAATTAGACAAATACAGTGCAACACCACAGAGGCGTTTTAATCTCTGAGCCCGATCTATATGCAGTAATTTCATGACTATCCATAATTCAGATGCTGAAGGAGTGTAATGGATGTGTGGGTTGTAGCTGGAATAGGAGCATTAATATGTTCACATTTCAGACAATGGGGCCATTTAGAAAATTGTTTGATTATCATGATATTAATAATGTTGGCCTCTAAACCCCACAGTCCATTCCCCATGTTCTGGCAGTTACATTAAAAGCTATGTGACGAGTTGTATTACCGTGATTTTTTGCAAGAAACACGTGTGATCCTGCTTCCTGCAGATCTATGTTTCATAAGCAAAGATAATATGATACTTTCCACAATTCTCCTTTGACATGATTGGATTAACTCTCTATTTAAAATGAGAACTTCAAACTGTAGCTCATAAATCCTAAACAATATTCGTATACAGCATACACGAAAAATGAATGCCAGTTGATAGACACTTCCTCTATTTACAGCACAAAGCAAATCTTTGAGTGGACATTTGGATGACCCTATTGTGCTTTTAGCACACCTTGAACACCTCATACTAGAGTAATGCTGCTGGCATGAATACAAAATCTCCTTGAAAATGCATTTATATTTCATGTTTTTCATAATGATTGGAAGTGAAGAATTATTGACTATAAAAAATGTAACAGATGAATAATTGAAAGCAGCAGTTTAACGAGAAGTTAATCTGGAAAACCTTTGAGCTTCTAACGCATATGAAAAAGGACATTTAAGATAACACAGAAATCATACAACCTGCAGGAGAACATCTGTAATAACTGTGAGAAGCTGCGTCAATAAGCTGTGGAGCATGTTTTTGTCAAGCATGCAGGATGGACTCATGTTGTGATGTCCTATTTGTTCCACTATATAATAATAATAATATCGGGAGGGATGAACCCCTCTTTAATGGTCACACATGCAGAGCACACAGCACACACAGTGACATTTGTTCTCTGCTTTTAACCCATCCTAGTACCAGGAGTCTAGTACTAGGAGCAGTGGGCAGCTATTGCACAGCGCCCGGGGATATCATGCTTATCATGCATTTAAATCAGCTACAGTTAAATCAGGAGAGACCAAATGTTTTGATTTAAAGAACATTTATTGACGCATGCGGCATATGATATAAATGTTTATAGTCTTTGGCGATTAGACCCCAATACCGATATTGTATATCTTAAGGGTGGTGATGCTGAAGATCTGGATTTGATGAGGAGATGGGAAGAAGAGGAGGTGTGATGAGGTGTGGTCTTTGGATTCGCTCTCCTGGGCACTGGACATCATGACAGGAGGTAAATGGGGTAGAGGCGGGCCTAAAGTTTGACTGCAGCACGATGATTGGCTGCTGGAGATTGTGGTGAAATATAATTGGTTAAAAGAGAAGACCCATGATAAAATGATTATATGCAGCTGTGGAGTGACTGAATGTATAACCAGTCTTCCTGCTTGAACTTGAGGCATAAGGGGGATGTTTGAATATGTAGAATAATAAATGGATGAAGTAATTTGAGAAATAATGAGTTTATTTAAACTAGTATTTACAAAAATGATTCAATTCAATATGAATCATCTCCAG